TCAAATTGTGGTGTATCGGAAAGGAACTTCACAAAAGGATTAAAAAAAAAAAAAAAAAAAAAAAAAAAAAAAGTTTTTACTAGAAAAAATGCGCCACGGTTTGCAAATTTTTACCAATGGGCAAGCGATAACGCCACGGGGAAAAAAAAAAAAAAAAAAAAAAAAATGAACGTAGCCACACAAACACATCAACGAAGCGACACAAAAATGTAACGCAACGTTGGAACGACGCAAAGCAGCCAAGGGTCAATCGTCAAACTAATGAAGGATGGGAGAAAACGAAGCAGTTCACTTGGGGTGCTTCTCGCAACTATTCGTAACACATTTATACACGTACGATAGCCACTCCCCTGCGCGGTGTTCAATAAATATATAACGTGGTGAACTTTATTATGATTTGTTCTCCCCTGCTGTGTCCTCTACGTGAATGTCATTTGAGCGGATTCTTCCTTGTGTACTGCTGGGACGCGGGGGAAATAATAATATCTCCTCATAGAACATTCACATATATATGCACATAAGCATGCACCGAAATATGAATGAAGGGTGGAGGCGGATGCAAGTGGGACGCAGAACATTTTTTCTCTGTGGGTCATGAGGGGACACACTCGTGCATCACACCCCTTATCATAAACGTTGAGGCAAACTCACATTCGCGTATGCCCCCCAGACGCGGCGTGTGCCCGTCCCCTTTTTGTTCCGCGCGCCCCCTGTCCATTCCACAACAACTAACAACGTGCAGTGCGTTGCACCTGCGCCCCCTCGGTCAAACATAAAATGCCCAGCCTATTTCAAAGGGGGAAATCGCAAAAAAGGGGAGTAAAAAAAAAAACATACATGTCTCCCAAATTGGGCAAACTGCGATCACTTTCATCACGTCCATCACTCCGCAGATCGAGTAAAGTGCGGCGCCCATGCAGAGGCCACACTGCATGCGTATGCACACATGCTGAACAAAGCGCATCGATAAAAAAAAAAAGAACACCATCAAAAGTCAATCAGTTTGCCAAACAAAATGTGTTGCAGGATTTGGCGCTTCTGAATTATCTCCGCTTGGTACATCTTCAGCAGCCCAGAGCAAATTTTCTCCCTGTGAAA